ATTAATGTCTGGGAAACACATGAATCCATCATTTCTCTGTTCACCAGTTATGGCTTATATAGCATGGTTCTCTAGCTTTAGGAAGAAACTATTGTAAAAGAAGGAAAATTGTGGGTTCAAAACAGATGAGAAGCCAATTGGAGACTACTCCACGATCTTTCCGAAGAATGCATGGCAATTCACCGATAATTAAGAAAAAGAATCTTCGGAGAAGACCATTACAAACTACTCCACTATCTTTCCGAAGAATCCATGGCAATTCATAGATAATAAAGAAAAGGAATTTGCGGAGAAGGCCATTACAAACTATTACACCATCTTTCCGAAGAATGCATGGCAATTCATAGATAATAATGAAATAGAATCCTTGGAGAGCCATGATCGTTTATGTTATGAAAAGATATAGCTCTCTATATATATGAGAATTAAATGTAACCTTTCTAAATGAAGCAATTAAAGAAGTGTAAATCATTGACAAATAAACTTTAATTTTTTCCTTTACAAGTGCTACAAATTTTCTGTCAAAAGTTGAAGCAGTTTTTTCAATCGTAGATATATTGTAGAAAAGGAGCATATAAAACTTTATAAATGTTTATTAAATTAATGAAATCTTGGTTTTTGCTTGCATTATTTTCCACTCGATAAAACAAGCGTTATGCAATTTTCTGATTTGACCAGAATTTTGTATTGGAATGGGTCAACATCAGCATCGTGGTGAACATTATGATGTTTACTGTTTGGATTTAGCCTCTGATTTTGATCGAAACCGAACGATAAGCCATTCCCCTGGGTTCTCACCTATACCCACACTCGCATTCATGATTGCTGGGAAGCCATCTGCTGTTCTTAATTGAAATAGATGCTGGTGGTGAACGCATAATGTCACGCACGTCATCCAAGATAGCCAAAGAAACACGACTATAAGCACACCTGCACGAGATGATGTATTTAGATAGCAGATCACGTTGTTTGTACTTTAAGTTTAGAGACGATGTCTTAAAGTTTTAGAAGTAATAAGAATTTTTTTTTTTTTAAAAAAAAGGAATATGCTTTTTTTTTCATAAGAGATACGGTGGAGTAATGGATAGCAGCTCGGATGGAGGAATTGGAGAGCCGAGGTCGAATTCCAGTCGATCCGTTACATTCACTTACGCTCTAGGGGAAGGTATGAATCCTCTTCGTTTTTCCCTCCAACTATGGGTAAATAGCAGAACAGATTATGTTCTATAGCTTTGGATGGCAACTGACCCAGGAGGACGACTCTGAATTCAAAACGCTGTTTTCGTTTTAGTGAAAAAAAGAAAGCATACATAATAATGAGGCAAAAAGAAAGAAAGGGGGATATAGAGGAAGCGATAAAGCTGTCATGTGTTTAACGTCTGTTTCAGTGAAATGGAAAAAAATTTTCAATTTGAAATCTTTTCACTTGTATTCTCTTAATACTTTATACGCCCGCCGTCGCATTTGTGATTGTGATGGAGTAATGAATAGCTATTCGGATTGAGGAATCGAAGAGCCGAGTTCGAATTCCAGTCGATTTCATTACATTCACTTACGTGCTAATACCCTTGGGAAAGGTATAAATCTTCTTCTTCTCCCCCCAGCTATGGGTAAATAGCAGAACAGACTGTGTTCTATAGACTTGATGGCAACTGGTCTACCACAGAAAGAAATGGCAATCTCCTACGGAGAAAAAAATTTGCATCGTCAGTCATGTATTGAAAGATACATGATCGCCTCAGCGTGTATCACCCATGGCACATAACTGAACCTGATGTTTTTTAGATAGTTATATCGAGAAGCAGAAGAGGGACTATGAAGAAACCAGAAATTTAACCAAACATTTTTCATATTAGTCTAAGACGAATTCAGTATTTTTTTCTTTACTGATAGATCACCCAATACAAGGCCCAAGGGTCACTCAAGGTAGAGGGTTCCTGATGGAGATTGTAGGGGAGAGGGAAAGTGTAGAAAGAGTACTATGAGGATAAAGTAGGATAGATATCGTTTGACACTGGACATAAAGAAATCAAGATTGTAGTTGTTAGGGAAGCATTCCCTTCGGAGTTTTTGCATAAAGTAAAAGTTCTAGAGAAGAAGTTGTCTTAGTGGAACTAACTTTACTTATCAGAAGAACACGAAGAGTATGGTTTGCCACTGTGAACAAGCATGGTCTGCCGTAGCTGTGGAGGTCCCAGCTGGTGATACTAAGGGATGTAACTCGTCCAATCATCTGCCTTCTTTTGGCAACAGTACTGACGTGTTGATAGAAGTGTAAACAGAGGGATAGGTAGGTAGGTAGGTAGGTAGGTAGGTAGGTAGCTAGATAGGAATAGACTGAGATAGATAGGTATACACACATACCCATATATATATAGAGATCGGGTGTCTAGGCACACTGATGAGCTATGAATCAGCGAAACAATCTGTCTGTGGATGATGATATTAGCTCCCGAAAAATAATTCGGTAGAGCACTGTGCGAAGAAAAGCACGAATTTCTAAACAGTCACTGCTGATCATGCAATGAATCTCCAAGCTGGATTGACTTCTCTAGGTCACTGGCGTGTTTATGAAAATATGAATACGTAAAAATTCGACTTTCTTCCGGGGGTCGATAGCCTAAGGGTTAGAATCTCCGATTGATGTCAGATCGGTCGGGTTTCGGTTCCGGCTTGAAACGATTGGATGTTCTGTCACACTGATGAGCTATGAAACAACGAAATAGTCTGTCTGCTGATGACTATATATATATATATATATATATATATATATATATATATATATATATATATATATATATAGGCAATTTTTCATTGATGCATGTTTCATTAAATAATATAGACAAGTTTTGTCTATTTATTTTAAGAAAGTTCCTTTCATATTGTTTGATAAGATTAATAACATTATCATTGAAAGACGAAAGGAAATCACCATATTGATACATGTTTAAATCCAATCTAAGCTTTCGGCTTACATAAGGCATTTAAAACAACATGCTTGCTTGTGTACACAATTCTGGAAAATACTTGTTGAAAACACAACTATACTTAAACATGAAAACAATAAACAAAAACTAAAAATTATTGAAGCTATATACATAAAACAGTTGAAACCTAACATGAACAAAATAAACTACGAAATCTCCACAAATATTCTTAAATGCCTATAATTGATAACAGAAGCTATTGGTTTATACCAACGGCTTCCCATACTTAATACTTCTCGTTTTCATTCCCGCGTGGTAATGTGTGACGTCACGAGCTGCGACGCAGTTTTCGCTTCCGCGTCTAGTACACACGAGGTTGTCATTGCTTTGAAATTTTTCATGCAACAAAAACAGACTATCATTATTGTTTCTTCCGTGTAATATATATATATATATATATATATATATATATATATATATATATATATATGTGTGTGTGTGTGTGTGTGTGTGTGTGTAAACATATATTGTTAAATATAACAGAAAACAAATGTCTATTATGTTAGATCAGGAGCCGTTCTAAACTTCGTATGGTTGCTTTAATTTCGGGTGAAAGTAAAGACAAAAATTGTCCAACATTTAGATATTATTTTATTCTGCTGTTCCTTGATCTAAATTTTCGGCTCACATAAGTCATCTTCAGAGTGGTTATATGAACATTTAAATATTCAAAGGTGATATTCTGTTATGTTGACATAAAAGATTACTATACGACAATAACGGTCGCGGAATAGCAAACGCAGGTCGTAAATTCACTATGCGGTCCTATGACGTCGTACCACGTGAGAGACCAAAATATTAACAAAAGAACCATATGTCTAGATGCAATGTAATGCATTGAATATATATATATATATATATATATATATATATATAATGATATATATATATATATATATATATATATATATATATATATATATATATATATATATATATATATATATATATATATATATATAATCATTTCACCCCAAGCAAGGCTATAGTGCCATTAGGTCGCAGGTGGTTACAGGGACTGAAAGCGAATGAGAAGACGTTCATGAGGAGAGTTGAGGAAAAGAACAATAAAGTAACAGGTTTCCAGAAAGGCAGAAGATGACGAATGACGTAGTTGAGACGGAAGCAAGAAATCGGAAGGGATTTCTTCAAGTCAGAAGTGCAAGAAAAAACTATCAGAATAGAAGAAACGGTCGTAATCTAGCTAGTTCAACAGTAAAACGCTGAGACCTATTTGATAATCTAGTAGAACGCTGAAATTCATGCAATCGACGTACTAAGAAGATCAGCTTATCACAACAATTGGGATGAAAATATTTCTAGAAAAAGCAGAGGGAAGACACGTCAGGTCAGTGGGAAAGTGACTGGAGTTGAGATGCCCTGGTCAGGATCGATTACATTACAGACACTTGGAATTTTGTCAAGAATTTCCAGGTATATAGTAGGAGCTCCAGATACGTCGTATTCTAGTCATTTTACGTATTTTAATATACTCTTCGCCCGACACATATATGTATAGTACCAATTTGTGACTGGTAGGAATAATTTATATATATATATATATATTATAAATTAACTGATTTAAAATATGGTTTCTTTGCTACACAGGAATTACCATGTTTCAATAACCGAAGCTAAAACCTTTAAATTTAATTACATAATTAAATCAAAAGCCTTAGTTCTGTTTCTTTTCATTATATATATATATATATATATATATATATATATATATATATATATATATATATATATATATTACCATTTGTGACTGGTAGTGATAATTCCAAGGAGGATATTAATCCAGATAGAACTTAATGTAAATAAAAGGAATAATAATAATAATAATAATAATCAAATAAAAAAGAAAAAAGATCCATTTCGGTTATAATTTATTTCGTGAATATTTTTAAATTCTTCTCTTCAGATCGAAAGTTCTTAATAAATGGAGACAATCCACCCGAACAGATATAATAGAAGAGACGAAAGGGGGGTGCAGGGAGGAAGAAAAATAACAGATTTTCGAATATAATTTCTTTTAAAATATAAAAGAGAGAGAGAGAGAGAGAGAGAGAGAGAGAGAGGGAGGGAGAGAGAGAGAGAGAAAAAGTGAAGGAAGTGAAAGGGAAGGGGGAAGGTATACAT